GGTGTTTAAACAATGATATGAAACTGCCATTACTAACACATCAGTTTTACTAAGAAGATGTCCACAAGTGACTTTAACTCTTTTCTCTTTTACATGTTTATCAGCAGTTTGTATTAGAAAATTGAAAACGTGCTTAACAAATATTCAGATGACACAAATAGGGAAGACTAACAGAGTGTACTTTCTGGCAGTCCTGAGGTGTTGAGGAGACAAGGATTAACCCAGCCCCTCGAGTGGAACACAGAGGCCTCACCCTAGCATCTAAGACAAACCAGAGGGAGATTGTCCTCTGCCAAACGTGCAATCCAGCGTCTAGTCGGCTCAGTCCCTGAGTGGATCAAGTGATTAACTCCCACTCTGTTTGCCTACCAGGAGAAAGGGTGAACCCTGTCTAGAAGAAAATACCATCATCCAAGACTTTTAACAATTTTTCATACATAGTCAATAAAAATTTACCAGGCATGTCAAGAGACAAGACCATATAGCCAAATACCAAGAGAGAAAAAAGAAGGAATAGAAATATACTACGCATAGACAATATTACAGAGCCTGGATGGTGCAGTGGTTAAAGACTCGGCTGCTAACCAAAAGATCAGCGGTTCGAACCCACCAGCTGCTCCGCGGAAGGAAGATGCGGTGGTCTGCTTCCATAAAGATTTACAGCCTTGCAAACCCTACGGGGCAGTTCTGCTCTGTCCTCTATGAGTCGGAATCGATTCGACAGCATGGGTTTGGTTTCGGTCTTTTAGGAAATATTGAAGTTATGAGACAAGGAATTTAAAATAGCTATAATTCAGATATTCAAGAAAATAGGAAGAATGTGGAGAAAAAAAGAGGAAAAAGTGAAGAATTAAACCAGTAATAAAAATCTTAAAAAGCAGCCAAAGAAAAGACACATTATTTTTACAGGAGCAACCATAAGACCGTTGGTTGATCTTTCAGTAGAAATGGCAGAAACCAGTGTCTTCTTTTTACGGTTTTCCCCTTGATTTATCCTAAACACCCACTCTTATTCTTTTTTTTAATTTTTTTAGATACGTGACCAAAGTATGTCCTGCTGCTCATGCATTTTAGCTGCTTGTTATGTTTGGGAAAGTGTTTTAAAAGATCAGAACTATTCCGGCATCCAAACAGTTATTCAGGTTTCCATTGTTATTCAGCAAGTAGTGGTTTCTCGGTCCTCTTCTGAGTCTCTCTTGTAGCTTTCTATAACCCAAACATCTCATTCTAAGTATAAACATATGTTTGAAGCTTTCCTTAAGAGATGAAAGCTTATCTTTAGTTTATAAAAAAAAAAAACAACTAACATTTTTATTTATAAGTAATATTGACTTTGTTTAGGTGTCTCCAAAGATTCAGATTCAGCTGTCTTTATGGAAACCACTGAAGAACTATTTGAACAGCTTGAATCTCACAGCCTGTCTCCCTCAGATGTGTTCATTCTGGATCACATGAAAACGCTGTTACTTTTGCAAGATACTGAAAGATTGAAGAGCGCTCTGGAAATGTTCCCAGAACATTGCAGGATGCCTCCTGGTATGTACCGTACTGCTTAAGATACTCTTGTCAAGGTTTGCCTCCGAACCACTTACGCTCTACCCAAACAGTAAGGAGTCAGAAAATATGACAACACACATATGGGTTGGAAGAATAGAGTCCCGCAGAGGAATATGCTTCTTGTGTCTCTGCTTGATATAAAAATATATCACATAATATATGCATAAATATATGTACAAACTAATTTTCCAGCCTTATGAGCTGTCAACTCTCAGGGCCAAATTTTCATAAGTTTAAATGGAAACAAGAAAATTAATTTCTTCCATCTTTTTTCTTCTCCTGAGCTGGATTAGTAGAGCATACATGTTTTTTCTTTCCTCCAAGC